TATGTTATGTCATTATTTTCTCTTCCAGTTGCAGGTGCTATCTATTTTAGTTGTTGCTGCTGTTGGTTTCCCTCATGTGATGTAGTTTCTATTATTTGTTTGTGATTCTGTAGCGCCAATCCACAATGTCCAAAGAAGGATGATCTTTGACAAAACCACAGGAGTGACTCGCTCAAAGCCCTTTTTTCAGTATTGTTCTGATGAAGCGTTTGTATAGTGCTGACATTTTAGACATTTCTGAACGGGTTTGCCAACAAGCATTACATCCATATGAAAGTATCGACCTGACGAGGCTATTTAAGAATTTGACTTGAGTCTTCTGTTTGATATTTTCAGTTTCTAGAGATTAGTAGTATTGGATAAAACTAGTTTGTCTATATTTCTGAGATGAGGTATTATGTACAGTATTTACATTAGTCGGACTATTGTCCTCATCTTTGTCGCCATATTTGTCACAACGTTTCGGCCGTTGTACGCTCCGGCCTTCTTCAGGTGGTTGGAATTTCGAACTGAACCCTTTATTTCGATCGCTGGGGTAGACTGTTCTAATTCCACGTGCCATGTTTGATGGATGTCAGTTATCAGTTATCTCCTGCTAATTTTCCCTCTGAAAGTTCTCCACTGCCTTAACCAGGAGCCGGAGCTTACAACAACCGAAACGTTGTGATAAATATGGCGACAAAGATGAGGACAATAGTCCGAATAATGTAAAAAGTGTACATAATACCTCATCTCAGAAATATAGACAGATACTGAAAGGCCCAAACGTTGTAATAAATATGGCGACAAAGCTGAGGACAATAGTCCGAATAATGTGAATAGTTTACATAATACTTCATCCAAGAAATATAGACAGATACTGAAAGGCCGAAACGTTGTAACAAATATGGCGACAAAGATGAGGACAATAGTCCGAATAATGTAAATAGTGTACATAATACTTCATCCAAGAAATATAGACAGATACTGAAAGGCCGAAACGTTGTAACAAATATGGCGACAAAGATGAGGACAATAGTCCGAATAATGTAAATAGTGTACATAATACCTCATCTCAGAAATATAGACCCATACTGAAAGGCCGAAACGTTGTAATAAATATGGCGAAAAGATGAGGACAATATTCCGAATAATGTAAATAGTGTACATAATACCTCATCTCAGAAATATAGACAGATACTGAAAGGCCGAAACGTTGTAATAAATATGGCGACAAAGATGAGGACAATAGTCCGAATAATGTAAATAGTAAATACATAATACCTCATCTCAGAAATATAGACAGATACTGAAAGGCCCAAACGTTTAGTAATAAATATGGCGACAAAAGATGAGGACAATATTCCGAATAATGTAAATAGTGTACATAATACCTCATCTCAGAAATATAGACAGATACTGAAAGGCCCAAACGTTGTAATAAATATGGCGACAAAGCTGAGGACAATAGTCCGAATAATGTGAATAGTTTACATAATACTTCATCCAAGAAATATAGACAGATACTGAAAGGCCGAAACGTTGTAACAAATATGGCGACAAAGATGAGGACAATAGTCCGAATAATGTAAATAGTGTACATAATACCTCATCTCAGAAATATAGACAGATACTGAAAGGCCGAAACGTTGTAATAAATATGGCGAAAAAGATGAGGACAATATTCCGAATAATGTAAATAGTGTACATAATACCTCATCTCAGAAATATAGACAGATACTGAAAGGCCCAAACGTTGTAATAAATATGGCGACAAAGCTGAGGACAATAGTCCGAATAATGTAAATAATGGTAAAATTCTATGTTTAATTTCCTTTTCTCATATAACTTTTTTTTTAATATAACTAGTCCATACGCCGAGGTTTAGTGTTTACTAATTCCACATCCTGAAATCTTATGATACATCACTGCTTTCATTCAAATTCCAGATCATATTTTCTGTTTTGGAAAGGTTTATCTTGAGTCCCATTTGATGGAACATTTGGTAGAGGACGCTGATTTTCTGTTACAGATCATTCTTGTTATAACTATGACTACCTATGTCATCAGCATAATCCCCCAACATCATCAGTTACATTAGTCACGGGAGGAAAATCAGGATCGTTGTCTTCTATTGGTAGATTCGTTTGGGAAGTGGTATGGAATACTTAAATGATCAGTGCCCATCTCATCATGCGGTGGACATTGTCTAGGAAAAAGATTTAATAGACTGTGACTCATCAACTCTTGCTAATGTCTGAAATGATTCCGCATCGGGTTCGTCGAAAGAAGTGCATGATTCTGTAGATCGATAGGTTTCTTCCATTAGATCGATCTATTCAGTGGATTCGGAACTTGGAAGGTGGATTCTGATGGATAAGACGAGGAGCTCTCTATTTCTGAGGTCGACAAAGCATATATACCGCTTTGTAACGGGAAGTAACGTCATCGATTTGTTTGATGTCCTGAGGAGTTTACTTTCATAAAATGACGAGAGACAAGTTAATATAATGTTTATTAATAATTTCACCAATGATCGATCCAAGAGAGATACCTCTGTACGTGTGAGAGCCTCGGGGTCTACATTATTGCCTGATAAATCCTTTTTTGGGGGGGATGAATTTCTGATTCCAAACTTCTTTACAAAAATAGAGAATCTTGCTGTTGAATTCAGGGAGAGAATAAGCTATTGTCAATGTTAAGACTCAATGTCGAGTGATACTTCATTATTTCTTAGTTTTGAAATAGATTTCTTAATTTTCTCATCAGCAGGTTCGTTTTTGTTTTTATGCTTGCAGACTGACGTTGTAAAGATATATAATGGTATATGTTTCATTTCTGCAGGAATCTTAAGTTTAGTGTGGTCAGGGTTGAAATGCGACTCAAATACTTATTGAGACCAGGACATTTCTTCTGTAGAGGTTTTGATTGTATAATATTTTTGTGATTTTTCACTTTTCTCTACATATTAACAAATTATTAATGCTGCTTCGTTTCATTAATTTAATTTCCAATTTTCTGGGGAGAATGATTTCTCAAAGGATTATTTCCTCTTAATTTCTTTGATAATTGTTTGGTACCTTCCCTTCAATTTTCTCTCTTCTCTTTGTTTCTTTCTTATGTCCATTCTTTCATTTTATTATTGTCGTCCCACGCGTGTATCTTCTTCCTTGTTTTTATTCTTGGAATAATGATATGATAACATTATTTGATTCCTTTATGTTTTGGTCAAGTCTTAATGACATCTTTTTGACCTTTTATTTACTACCGAATTCTAAATATAACCTTTATTTTTTTAATGGCTTGGATTTTATGCCACGGTATTTGGGTGGGGGGATCTTTGTGTATGGGAGCGGAGGCGAACTCTTTTGTTGGCTGCAGTTGCTAATTTAGTGACAAATATTTTGTGATACTCTAACATCTCTCACAAACTGCCTAATCCATAAGACTTAGATTCTGAAATCAATCATCTTTTTCGTTACATTATCTGAACCATGCGATGTGTTGTTGCGTTTCATTGGATGATCAAACCACGTGTTAAGTAAATGAGTCACATTTAAATAACAGAAAAATTAGCTAGAGTTCTTCATTTTTAAATGAGGCTTCTGTTTAAAAGGGTCATGTCTTTTTACGATCTAATTAGTTGCAGTGTTTATAAAATGCTTAGGGTTGCATTAAAATCATCATTAATGCACAATTTTCTGTTATTTTATTTTCTAATATACAAATTTTAATTAATACTGCATAGATTTTCTCTTTTTCGTTTTTTTAGTCCGAACATAAGGTGATATTTATTGGATCTTATAGCAATGAACAGACAACGTCGACAATCATCAGTCTTTCTGATCGTTGTGCAATACTGACAGCTACAACATCGTCTTAAAACATGCAGTACGAATTACTATACACATAGTATCTCTCTCAATTTATAGAACTTCTCTCAGTGTATACTATGTCTCTGGCAATTCCAAAACCCCTCTGGCTAAAAATATATAATATTATTCGAACTGTTTCTACACTCTAATTAGTTGTGGCGTTTACAAAATGGTTGGGTTAGCATTAAAATCATCATCAATGCAAATTGTCCGCTATTTTTTTCTAATATACAAATTTTACTTAATTCTGTAGAGATTTCTCTTTTTCCGTCGGGGTATAAGCTGATATATCTCGGATCTTACAGCCATGAACAACAATGTTGTCAGTTATCAGTCTTTCTGATTGGTCTATAATAATGCCAATTACAACGCCATTTTAAAACATGCAGTTGTAATTGATACGCAAAGTGTCTCTCTCAATCTTCTTTCTATGTATAAAATCTCTCTGGCCCTTCTCAAACCCTTCTGGACGAGAATATATAATATGATTGGAACAGTTTATAGGTTCGACGCGTTGTATTCCAATTCTAACAACGTGTTGTCTTTTATTCTTATGACCACTCCAAAATAAACTTTATCCCAAAATGGCGAGAGGGTCAAATCCAAGTCGACGAATCTTTTGCATACAGCCAGCATTAATGTCTGCTTTATTGCATTCTTCTAAAATGAAAATATCTGATCGTAACAGGGCGTTTCGTTGGTCTATTTCTCATTTGAAGGACTTTTTAAGTTTGGATGTGGTCTTTAATTTTTCGATGATGGTGATTGGTTAAAAAGGCTTGCTCGATCTTACCTTATAAACGGATTGAAAATCAATCAAAATCCAGAGTCGATAAATTAATTTTTATTCATTCTTCGAAGTTGCGACCCATCGCAGCATAGCCAGCGACGAAAATACAACATTTGCACGACAAGCTGGCGACCTCAGAAGAACTCGTCATTGAATTCGGGGTGAAATTAAGCTATTTTCGGCCTCAATGTCGAGTGATGCTTTATTATTATTCCTTAGGTTTTTTTTTATTAGCTTTCTTAATTTCCTCATTAATCGATAGATAATTGTTTATGTTTGGGGACGGACCCCGTAATGGGTGGATGAATATTGCTATGTTTTATATTTAGGCGGGCATCTTAATTTTGAAACAATAGAAGTCTATCTATCTATCTATCTATCTATCTATCTATCTCAGTAAGTTTCTAACTATCTTTCTCAGTAAGTTTCTATCTTTCTGTTTCATTAATTTCTATCTATCTATCTATCTATCTATCTATCTATCTATCTATCTATCTATCTCAGTAAGTTTTTTTTATCTATCTCAGTATGTTTTCTCTCTATCTATCTAACTGTCTATCTATTTCAGTAATTTTTTTATCTATCTCAGTAAGTTTTGTATGTATGTATCTATCTATCTCTGTAATTTCTTTCAGATGCATAAGGTCTTTTTAATCTGTTCTTACAGACCTCCTCAGGTATGGAATTAGATTTGTTCTTTTTTTTACTGGAATTTATACACAGGTATCATATCATTCATATACAGGTTCGGGGTTGGTGTATCTTATTGATATTGTTTGCGATGCTTATTCTTGCCATTTAAATCATTAACCTCTCCATTTGTTTTATTGTATGAATGATTCATGAATTTATAAATTATAATTGCACCTATAATATAAATTAAAATAACTGATCCAACGTGCAACTTTCGGATAATAAAGGTGACATTCTGTAATTATTGAACAATATAGTTCATGCCACATTGATTTGGAAAACCTAGCAGTACAAAAAATTTCTCTTTATTACTATATTTGTACAAAAAACGCACAAACTTAAAATTTAAAATTCAAACTCAAAGTGTTGCGACCGCACCTTCAAAAACAATAACACATTTCTCATAGCATTTTTTCGGATTACATCTCTATTTTCGTTGTCCTCTTATTACTGAGAAGTAAAAACAAGAACAAAATCTATTTCCATACGTGAAGATGTCTGTAGGAACAGACGAAAGCTTGTAAAAATTAAAAAGACCTTATGCAACTGGAATTTCTAAACAGGGATCATCATTCATATACATGTTCGGGGTTGGTGTATCTTATTTATATTGTTTGCCAAGATGTATTCTCGCTATTTAAATACTTAACCTCTACATTTGTTTTATTGTATGAATGATTCATGAGTTTATAAATTATAATTGCACATATAATTGTATATATACATACATGGTTATATATATATATATATATATATATATATATATAACTATCTTCCCTATATAACTATATATAAATATATATATATATATATATATATATATATATATTCTGGACTATAACTATATATATATATATATATAAACGACTATCACTATAACTATATATATATATACACGACTATCACATAACTATATATATATATATATATATATATATATATATATATATACACGAATCACTATAACTATATACATATATATATATATATATATATATATATATTAGACTATCACTATAACTATATATATATATATATATACACGACTATCACTATAACTATAACGCAGATTGTGTGTGTGTGTGTGTGTGTGTGTGTGTGTGTGTGTGTGTGTGTGTGTGTGTGTAACATTTATATATTGGATCGAATTTCCTACTTTTTTTAACCGATTTCAAAAAAAACTTCACAGGGTTACATAAAATTACCTTGTGGTGGTTCTAACGTCGCCGAAAATGGGAAAAACATTGTGTTTTTTAAACAAAATCAATTTGGAAACACGATTAAGACACATCGTGAGAATGAAAGGGGGACAACTCTTACGAAAATGTAAAAAAAGAGCATAGCATGATGAAAAATAAGCCGAACTTGACGAAAACAAAATTTTATCGTCTAATGTTCATATTATTATTAAAGAGGAAAGATCAAAATATTTTTGGGTATTTTATTTTACATTTTTAATCGTTCTTAGCACGTCTGAAATTTTCGTTAAAAATATTGTTTTTTTTATCAAAAAAAAGACAGATAATCAATCATTTTTTCGATTTGATAAAATAGGAAAGATAATTCCACGTACTTTAGGCCGTTTTTTCAATTCCCTTTGCAATTTGTTACAAGGCAGATCAATAAGGCATTGGTTCTATTTGAAATTAATTCAATATTTAAAAGAAAAGTATTAAGAAATAATTTAAAATGCCCACGTAAGAAATCTGATAGACAAAAAAAACAATATTTCGAAGATGATAATTATTAAGGAAAGAACACAGTACTTGTAATAAATTAATAAACCCAATTAAAGTTAATATTTTTGTATTAGAAACAACGAGTGGAAAATATATTCAAATCAGAATTCTAATTATGAATCACCACAAGCAAAATATGCATTTTTTTTTACTGTATTTATTAAGTAAAATCATAAATTGTAAAAGATTACAGAGAAAGGCTATCTACATTTTCAACCGATTTCAACAAAACTTTTACTTTTTTTTTGGTAGGATAGCAAGGTGAACAAGGCGGGAAAAGTTTTTTTTTTTTTTCAAAACAAGTGTAATTTTTTTTATTAAATGGAAAACAAGTAGATTATCTCGTGGTATGAGATCAGGAAAATGTTCCGCGCCAAAATAGGATAGCAAGGTGAACAAGGCGGGAAATTTTTTTTTTTTTTAAGTTCTGGAAAAAGAACTCGTTAACACGAGGTGTAGATGTGCACAGGTAAATAAAGTACTTACTGTGGATTGGGTATTGTAAGTGTGTGTAGTGTTTTTGTGTTGTTTTTTTTTTATACCCTTTTTGTTCAGGTTCACGGTAGTGAAAGTTCAGTCATCTTAGATTTTGGGATCAGGCATTGAATTTGCTGCTAAAATTATTTACGACGAGCCAAAAAAGGGACGAAGACTTATTTGTTGTTGGTTGCATCGTCTTGATGAAAATTATTTGCGACGAGCCAAAAGGGATGAAGAATTATTTGTTGTCAGTAAGATATCCTGTGTCTGTATTTAAACTTGACTGACGAGGATAAATGAGTCAACTTCATGGATCGAAATTTTTAGCCCGACTGAACGATTAGTTTGTCCGTGACGTCAGAGAAAACGCGGGAAAACGGTAATTTAAATTTGTTAGATTGGTGATATCAACAGGAGCTGATAAAACTACAATAACTTATTTAAAACTAAAGAAAAGGTTTACTACTATATTTAGCTTAATGAGAAAGGAAGGGGTGTAATCAGTGGACGCGCGCGCACACACGCACAAGTGTTGAAGGAAGGGAGGAAAACTCGCACGCGCGTAAAACGTAGATGGAATTACTGTATTATTTCCATAACTCATAACGATTGTAAACAATGTTTTTGTTTGAATTTGGGTTTGACCAATTCGTAAAAAAAAAAAAAAAAAAAAATTAATTAAGACATGCGTGTCCGTGAACCTTAAACAATAATCTTTGTCAATTTTATTTTTCAGTCTTTGTGATCGTCCATACTTGATCTATCTCTTACTGTTACATCCCCGGCAACGCCGGGCTCTACTACATAATATATATATATATATATATATATATATATATATATATATATATATATATGACTATATATATATATATATATATATATATATAGATAGTTAGATAGATAGATAGATGAATATATACACGACTATCACTATAACTATAACTATATATATATATATATATATATATATATATATACAATCGACTATCACTATAACTATATATATATATACACGACTATCACTATAACTATATATATATATATATACGACTATCACTATAACTATAACTATATATATATATATATAAAATATATATATATACACGACTATCACTATAACTATATATATATATATATACGACTATCACTATAACTATATATATATTTATATATATATATATATATATATAAAAACACACAGACATATATATATATATATATATATATATATATATATATATATATATATCTATCACAACCGCCATATCGGCTGATGTACTATAGGTGGCTATCTGAGATAAAAGTCAAGCAAAAAACAGCTTGTGTCGTACTCTTGAACGATTTATTTTGTATTTTTCAACACTTTGAGCATTTTATTTTAATCATTACACAAGGACAATTTTTTAAAAAAAAATCAAATTCCTTTTGTATAGTAAAGTAGCAATAAAAAGCACCTGAAAGTAAGATGAATAATATTAGTCAATAAATCAAATCGGTTATCTTTCAAACCGACGACAACGAACATGTTTATTACTTCTTTTTTGTCAATGACTGCTTCTTTTTTTTAAATTTTGGTCTGTGAAGGCTACAAATGTCTCCCTCAACGATTTGTCTTTTATATCTAATAGATTTGTACACACGAAACTTCAACTTTCACCTTATCCTCCTGTATTATTATATTGTGTTATAATATCAAGATTTATTCTGTATTTATCAACACTCAGTGCATATTTTCTTTTAATCATGAGACAATGTCAATTTACACCAAAACCAAATATAACGATATATGCTGGAAATGGACGTTGTCCGAAGATAACGTCCACAAATCACACATAATAGACAAAAAAAAATCACACTCTCTCATTCCTGTAATGATAATTCAGGAAATACTGGTCGTCTAAAGTAGTTAACCCATTACCTGCCATGAGCCTCATTTGGGGATCTGTTAAAATTAAACTCACTACATGTTATTCCTTGTATTTGCATTGAATTGCTTACATACATTGCATTTGCAGAGGTATATTTTACAACACTTAGCCTTTAAAGTTTTTATTATTAGCCGTAAGAAGACACTTTTTGTTCTGTCGTAATTTTAACTTTCACGAGTAGGAAAATAATGAAATAATTTATTTTTTTATTATTTCTAATCAATATTATTTTTTTCATGTTTTATACACATATATATTTGATGTTCTCGTTTCTATAAAAACGACAATGGTAACTACTGAAATTAAATATAAGGAATAAATAAACTTCTAAAACACCTGTCTGGGACAAAAATGCGCATTAAAAAAATTTGGCAGTTAATGGGTTAAAGTGAATGTTACAATACGGAAGGGAATCCCATTCTTATTCCTGATAGAGTACATTTTTGGCATTTTGATTAAATAAACAGAAAGAAGAAAACACGTTTTATCGACTGCCAGTGATACATATTTGCATTACTAATTGTTCATCTTGCCAGTCTAAACTTACCTCGCTATATTGAAGACAAACATACCTTCCTTCAAACGTATTTAAGTGGCGACTATTCATTTAAATACATTTGGATACACACACACACACACACACACACACACACACACACACACACACACATATATATATATATATATATATATATATATATACATACACCCTTGGCAAAGGTGTGAATCCTCTTCTTCTCCCTCTAGCTATGGATATATATTCGAGGACAGAGTAGGCTCTAGAGCCTTGAATGGCAACTAGTCTAGGAGAAAAACAACTCTGAATTCAAATCGTGCGAAGGGTCGTTTGGGGGACCTTGTGGCACGTCGTGCACCAGGTCTCTGTATTCGACCCTTCAAAAAGTGTGATGGATCTGCAAATGAAACCTTCACGACTATAATCAAATCTAATGTGATGTTGTCGGGCTATCGGTTTCCTAGAACTTATTGACTTTACCCTCATACGTCGATTTCGACGTGAGAGTCGAATATATATATATATATATATATATATATATATATATATATATATATATATATATATATATATATATATATATATCCGATGCAGTGAGAACGATAATAATATATTAATTCTAACGTTCAAAGCATTAATCCAAAACCAGTCTCGATATTGATAGACAAAAGCAGTTTACTCACTACAAAGATGCAACTACGTTTTGGTGCATTTCAGTTGCACCTCGACTGGTTGGAACCAAAATTTGTTATGAACAATACTGCTTGTAAGCAGGCCGTATGTGAAATGTCACTTCCTTTTTTCCATTTGTTTGAGAAAAAAAAAATATATCCCCTATTCCCACCTTTCCTCGTCCATCCCTCATTCTGTGCCTAAAACTTTGACCGTTGTTATCCACGAGGAATTTCTCCAGTCTAATCAACCACTTTAACATCTCACCCATCCTTCACAAAACTGCTATCAAAAAAGCACTATTGTTTCACTCCCTCACTTTTATGCTTTATGTATTTTTTTCCTCAAACAATTAGAAAAAAGTAAGTGACGTTTCACATAAAGGTCCAATTGTTCATAACCAATTTTGGTTCTCATCAGTCGAAGTGCAATTGAAATGCACCGAAACGAAGTTGCATCTTTGTAGTGAGTAAACTTTTTTGTCTGTGTGAAAAAAATATTATATATATATATATATGTGTGTGTGTGTGTGTGTGTGTGTGTATATAATATTATATATATATATATATATATATATATATATATATATATATATATATATATAATAAATTAATTGATTTGAAATATTTTTCCGCTACAGAGTTCTAACCATGTTTCAAAATGTTAGAACTGTGTAGCGGAAAAAAACATATTTTAAATCAATTAATTTATAATATTAATGCTCTGTAAATTTACATTGAGCTCTATTTTGTAAAAATAAAAATATCTATAAGAACACAGGATTATATATCTTACTGTTCTTTCTTTTTTATTTAAATACATATATATATATATATATATATATATATATATATATATATATATATATATATATCAGTATACCGTGATGAAAATATGCCCTAAACTTAATGAAAACAAAGTTTTATCGTCTCAATGTTTATGTTATTATTAAGAGGAAAGACCAAAGTATTTTTTTTTTATTTTATTAAATATTTTCATCCTTTCTCCCTACATCCTTTTTGTTTAAAAATCTTGTTTTTTGGCAGGGGTAGAGAACGTCAGCAGGTCGGCCAAAGTGGGCAATTTAGCGTCTTTTTGTGCATAAAAAAAAAAATGTTTTGGAAATTCTTGCAAAAATCAAATAATTGATTGATTTTAGGGAGTTTTTCTGAACTTATTCACAAATGAATAAAATTATTTTAGATCTGTTTTTTTTAGAAAGTCATGATATTTTTTTTGACAACTGTTACCCGCCTTTACTTAATTTTACGAAAACTCGAGAAATTCAACTGTTATTGATTCTGTTAGTTAAATGCAAAAGTCTTTGAAGAAAATAAATCATCGATTTTTTTTTCTTTGGAAAATCGAAACACCCCGTTGCCGAAAATCAGCTATGAATTGAAACGTACATAACCCAATAAAACTAAGACATAATTTAATAAGAAAAGCTTTTAATGGCTTTTATGAATAATATATGTTAAGGAGAATATTGTCTGAAGCCACAATATTTTTCCGATGAAAAATTTTTTTTATGAGAATTTTTTTTCTATTTTAAATGCAAAATGTGATGAAGCTGTTAAATATTTTCAAATTAAAGTTTCAATCCGTAGAGTTTAAGGAATGTAGATAAAGTATATCTATCCTTAGAGATCATAAATATGAAAGCTTTTTACAACCTCCGAGTCCCACCCCTGCATTTTAAAAAAGAATTCAGCACCGTTTTTTTCAGTGTGCATAATTTTTTTCCCCTAATATATGGGTGATCGGACATGACATTAAACTGTCAAACGTTATAAGTATTGTTTCCCCCGACGACAACAATAAGATGTCAGAAAATGTGTGTTTTCTTTCTGCGAGCCTGTATTAAAGAATTCTCTGACTGATTTTGACCATCATTGTCGCATTTTCATGTTTTCTTTTATATTTTACTTCACTAAATATATTTAATTAAATTATTCACATTACATGAATCATTCATACAAAAAAAACATATATAGAAGTTAATGATTTAAATGGCGAGAATACATCTTCGCAAACAAATTTAATAAAGTACATTAACCCCGAACCTGTATATGAATGTTATGATCCCTGTTTATAAATTCCAGTTGCATGAGGTATTTTTTAGTTTTTTACTAGAGCCAAATTATTGCAGTTTTTTTTTTTCTCACATTCTTGGTGAAATTTTCCAACAGTCACCGTCATATAAGAAAATAGATATTACATAGCAATGCAGCACTTTTTTTTCTTTATTTCTAACATCTTTGTCCGTTTCTCAGCAACTTGCCTAGTTTCTGAAATAACCTCTTCCCAATGAGTGTTTCGATCTCGGTGTCGCATTTTCTTAACTGCGTTAAAAAGCTTTTAAGATAACTGAACATCCGCCTGAGCGACATGTTTGTCTATTAAGAGGGAGGTTTAGTTTGAGATTTTCTTAAATATTTGATTGCGTATCAACCCTGAGCGCTGGCACACGACATCGTGCTTGAAGCGTCAAAAGCTGACAAATACTTCCTTTCTAGTTCTTTATTTGATATGTTTATTTTTATTTGTTTGCTTATATATCTATATCAATTGAATTTAATTACTTACGTTTAAATATAATTGATTATTCGGGTTCAATGTTCAAGTGTTTACGTAATAATATGTAAATGAAATTGCTTTATTTTGAAAGCAATTTTCTTGTTTGACATATATATAAACAATGAAATACACTCATACACTCACACACACGCACAAACACACACACACACATATATATATATATGTATATATAAAATTTTCATTAGAATCAATCTCGCGAGCTCGACGGTCTGTATTCTGTGTGTATTTCTTTCTTTCTTTCTTTCTTTCTTTCTTTCTTTCTTTCTTTCTTTCCCGGTCACCTTTTGACATTTGATTCTAATTCTGACGTTCATAAACACAAACTTTTTCAGTTCATTTATGTTTTTAGGGTTATCTATCTATCTATCTATCTATCTATCTATCTATCTATGCCGTCTTTCATTTCTATATATCTATCTATCTTGGATTATTCATTATCTATCTCGCGGTCTTTGTTATCTATCTATCTATCTATCTATCTATCTATCTATCTATCTATCTCAGTTATGTTATCTATCTATCTATCTATCTATCTATCTATCTATGCCGTCTTTCATTTCTATATATCTATCTATCTTGGATTATTCATTATCTATCTCGCGGTCTTCGTTATCTATCTATCTATCTATCTATCTATGTATGTATCTATCTATGCTGTGCCATTTCTATCTAGCTATCTCTTCCGCATTATTAATTATCTATCTATCTATCTATCTAAGTCGTCTCTCATATCTATCTATCTATCTATCTATCTATCTATCTATCTCAGTTATGTTATCTATCTATCTATCTATCTATCTATTTATGCCGTCTTTCATTTCTATATATCTATCTATCTTGGATTATTCATTATCTATCTCGCGGTCTTCGTTATCTATCTATCTATCTATCTATGCTGTGCCATTTCTATCTAGCTATCTCTTCCGCATTATTAATTATCTATCTATCTATCTATCTATCTATCTATCTATCTATCTATCTAAGTCGTCTCTCATATCTATCTATCTATCTATCTATCTATGCTGTCTTTCATATCTATCTATTTATCTATCTATTCATTTGATATCTATTTATCTATCTATCTATCTATGACGTCTTTCATTTCTATATATCTATCTATCTCGGATTATTCATTATCTGTCTCGCGGTCTTCCTTATCTATCTATCTATCTATCTATCTATCTATCTATCTATGCCGTGCCATTTCTATCTAGCTATCTCTTCCGCATTATTAATTACCTATCTATCTATCTATCTATCTATCTATCTATCTATCTATCTATCTATCTATGTCGTCTCTCATATCATCTATCTATCTATCTATCTATCTATCTATATATTCATCTATCTCAGTCTATTCCTATCTATCCATCCATCCATCCATCTATCTATCTATCTATCCATCTAATTCTATTCCTTTTCATCCATCAATCATTTATATCCCAGTCTATTCCCATCTATCTATCTCCATCCATCATCCATCCATCCCATTCTGTTCCTTTCATCCATCTATCTCATTCTATTCCCATCTATCTTCATCCATCCATCCATCTATCCATCCATCTATCCATCCCCATCTATCCCCATCTATCTATCTATCTCATCTATCCATCATTCTATCTATCTATCTATCTATCTATCTATCTATCTATGCCGTGCCATTTCTATCTAGCTATCTCTTCCGCATTATTAATTATCTATCTATCTATCTATCTATCTATCTATCTATCTATCTATCTATCTATCTATCTAAGTCGTCTCTCATATCTATCTATCTATCTATCTATCTATCTATCTATCTATCTATCTATCAGTAAACCACTTTAATCACCCCTGTATAACATCGGAAACAGAAACCATTGAAATGAAACAAAACTTAACGTGCTCTTGCCTTACCTCATTAACAATAACACAAACAAACAAACAATCATAATTTGAGCACTAGGCAAATATGACGTCCTTTAATAGATCAAGAGACGCTTATCATTTGAAAAAATAAAATATTGCCCTGAGAATCTAGAGATTTCTACATGGCTTTAAAGAAGACAACGTCAAAGGGTTGATTAATATTGCTTTCATAAAATATATCAGTCGACAATATATATATATATATATATATATATATATATATATTACAATGAATCATTGATACAAAAAGTAGATTTGTAAAGTTAATGATATAAAATGGTGAAATCATTTCGCATGCAAACTTTTAATGTTGCATTAACTTACAAATCACTTGATGAATGTTTTGATCCTTTTTTTTTTATAACTACAAGCTGTATAAGGTCTTTTTTTAATATGCAAGTACTTTCAACTGTAGATTCAGTCATCCTCAGGCATAGAAATTATTTTGTTTTTAGTAAAATCCAGGTAGCATCCGAGACGAAAAAATATATATATATATATTATAATTTATATATATATATATATATATATATATATTATAATTATTTTTTTAATAATACGTTTCCTTCGCTACATAAGAGTTCGTATGTTTCAAAAAAGAACCGAAAACCTCAATATAATTATTAAAATTAAATTGAATTAAAGTATCAAGCCTTGTTTCATCCTCAAGAGATTTTTTTTTCTTGAGATTACAAAATAACATTAGTTCATTTCGTTTATTAAGTAGATTTTACCGGGACGAGAAAAATAGCTTTTTTCTCTATTTTACCGGAACTGGCAAAATCGCCTTGCTCTTACTTTTACCGAGACTGGCATAATAGATTTAGTCTCTTTTTTACCTTGACTGGCAATATAGATTTAATTTCTATTTTACCGAGACTGGCAATATAGATTTAGTATCTATTTTACCGAGACTGGCAAAATTGATTTAGTATCTATTTTACCGAGACTGGCAAAATACATTTAGTCTCTTTTTTACCGGGACTGGCAAGATAGATTTAGTATCCATTTTACCGAGACTGGCAAAATAGATTTAGTATCTATTTTACCGAGACTGGCAAAATAGATTTAGTATCTATTTTTACCGAAACTGCCAAAATAGATTTTGTCTCTATTTTACCGAGACTGGCAAAATACATTTAGTCTCTATTTTACAGGGATCGGCAAAATAGCCTAATCGAAAAAAAAATCTGTTAATGACCACAAGATGTAGGGCTTTTTTAACGAGCCATGAATCGCGCATGTCCTGAATAGGACGTCATGTAGAAGAAGAAACGTGTCTCAGTCACACATCAGATATTTCCAAACGACTGAAATTAATTTTTACAAAGCCCTGTCCTCCAATCTGAGCGTCGAATTCAATTTAATCGCAGGTTAATTCCTGAAACAGTTGCTCTCCAGATAATCAAATTTCACTTTTATATGTTAATATTATTATAGTGATTAGACTTCGTTCGTTACCCATGAATGACCTTCAGAGAGTATTTTGATTGGATAATGGAATAATTGCAGAAAGAAATTGTTTTTTCCAATGTATAAGACAATGGCAGATGGCAACCAGATTTCGAGCTCCACGATTTTGCTGACACGCTGAAAAGAAATATGTCTCTAAACATTAATAACTGGCAAAACTTAATGTTTTAATTGAATTGTTAAAATGTTATTTACTAAACCTCTTCCCACACTAATCCAACCTCGCATATTGGGGTTAAGCATTTTCTGTGTCACTGTGAAGAATATCCTTCATCAAATCTCAAAGACTGTCGCTACACAACTACAAAGAACCTTACCAAATTTAAAAAAAAAAAAACACTTGAAAAAATCCCGACAGAAACAACAACTAAAATGAGCAAAAACAAAAAGAGAAAATAAAGACATAATAAACATTTTCTCTATTTACATTATTCGGACTATTGCCCTCATCTTTGTCGCCATCTTTATTACAACGTTTCGGCCCTTCAGTATCTGTCTATATTTCTGAGAGGAGGTATTATGTACATTATTTACATTATTTGGACTATTGTCCTCATCTTTGTCGACATAAATTATTACAACGTTTCGGACTTTCAGTATCTGTCTATATTTCTGAGATGAGATATTATGTACATTATTTACATTATTCAGACTATTGTCCTCATCTTTGTCGACATATTTATTACAACGTTTCGGACCTTCAGTATCTGTCTATATTTCTAAGATGAGGTATTATGTGCATTATTTACATTATTCAGACTATTGTCCTCATCTTTGTCGACATATTTATTACAACGTTTCGGACCTTCAGTATCTGTCTATATTTCTAAGATGAGGTATTATGTGCATTATTTACATTATTCAGACTATTGTCCTCATCTTTGTCGACATATTTATTACAACGTTTCGGACCTTCAGTATCTGTCTATATTTCTAAGATTAGGTATTATGTGCATTATTTACATTATTCAGACTATTGTCCTCATCTTTGTCGACATATTTATCACAACGTTTCGGCTGTTGTACGCTCCGACCTTCTTCAGGTGGTTGGAATGTCGAACTGAACCCTTTATTTCGATCACTGGGGTAGACTGTTCTAGTTCTACGTGCCATATCTAATGGATGCCAGTTATCAGGTATCTCCTCTTAATTTCCCTCTCCAAGTTCTTAACTCACACTCTTTCGATCCTGTCACTGGATCTAACTAACGACTTTGCCCACTGTGCCATGTGTCCTTGAGAACACATGGCACAGTGTGAGTTCAAAGAGTATGAGTTCAATACCTGGTTAAGGCAGTGGAGAACTTGTAGAGGTGAATTAACAGGAGATAACTGATAAGAAGTGTTTCATTCAAAGTGCTTTGAACCGCTGCCCTTTGGAACAGACTCCCAAGTGGATGTTTCCCCAATCACTACAATCTTAACCTGTTCAAGTCTAGAGACAAACGTTATCTTCCCCACCTGTTCATAAACTACTACTCATCGTAAACCTCTACCTAGAGTCCTCCGTGGATCTTGTACTGGGGAACCTCACTGTAAGAAAAAATATAATAGAATAAAAACATTACCTTTTATAGTAGGGGTGTGAAGAAGGCGTTGAGACAAATATTTTGAAGGATATGACATCAAGGAAAAAACACATTTATTTAATTTGTATTTTATTGGTTGCGAACTACAATTATTTAAAAAAAAATTGTAGCATAGTCCACCTCGTTGTGAGGAGGGCTTGGTTGACGGCTTTAATTCCATAATAAAGATATCTTTCTTTATTTCTTCTCTCATCTTCTCCAGGATTGATAGCGAAATGTTTTGTTTTTGTTTTGTTTTTGTGTTCAGAGATAAAAGACGTCAATAACGAGATTTTTAATCGTACCAGCTTTCGTCGATGTGTACATCTGTAGGGGGATCAAGGGATCGCTTTCGAACCCCACTGGGAAGTCGATTCCCAGACAGGAAATAACACGTCTATATTCTTCGACGTGTATATCCCGACTCCATGAAATAACTTTCTATCTCTATCATTCCCACGCTAGCTTTATCCAATTAAAATCGACTTTCTTTGTTTTCTTGTATGTGACTTCAAAGGTCAAAATGAGGAAGTCAGAGCAGAAATACAATTCTCTCTAAAAAAAAAAAAAAAAAAATAATTGTCTGCTAGACTATTATTTAAAAAGAAATTGGTTACTTCTACAGAGTGTCTAGTCAGTAGTTCCCTTGAAGAACTTCTTCCCTCGGCAGCTTGCGTGAATGGATGCCAGAACAGGCTTTAGCAGAAATAATTAAATACAAAATTTATTAAGAGCTACAAAGGACGGGGAATTCTGAAGAATCAAGAAGATCTACGTTATGATGGGAGACGTCATATAAAAGTTGATGTTATAGCTGAAAAGAAATAGCTACATTTGAACAGAAAGCGAAATATTAGTTTGGTGCAAAAATAATGACGTAATAATGTCGTTTTTTGACGTTAAAAAATACGTCAAAAAACGACATTATTACTTCATTATTTTTGCACCAAACTAATATTTCCATCGATCAAAAAACAGCGAACGCCAACGGTCGCAAGTGACACGCTAGGGCGTTATTTCCGCGAGGGTTAATTTCTAGCGTCAGGTTTCTTGAAAGACCAAGAAATATATCCGCTTGAGGAAAGCTCAGAGTATCTTGTGTATCTCTGTATAGAATTCTGCTGCCGTATCTGACCTGGTGCTC